AAAGCCCCAGTAGATAGGTGTATGTCATAGTTGCACATCCTTCTAGTTGCTGTATGTGGGACGCTGCCACAGCATGGCCTGAGAAGTGGTGCGTCGGTGCGCGCCTGGGATCTGAACCCGGGCCGCCAGCAGCGGAGCACACACACTTAACCACTAAGCCACGGGCCCAGCCCCTGTTACACTGTTTTCGATTTCTAAAATTTCCTCTTAATTCTTTCTTAGTTTCCATCTGTTTGTTTATATTACCCATCTGTTCTTGCATGTTGTCCACTTTTTCCATTAGACTCCTTAACTTATGTATCATTGTTATTTTAAATTCCTGTTCTGATAATTCCAACAACATCCCTGCTGTATCCGAGTCTGGTTCTGATGCTTGCCCTGTCTTATCAGACTGATTTCTTGCCTCTTACTATGCCTTGTAATTTTTTGTTGAAAGCTAGACATGATGTATTGGGTAAAAGGAACGGAGGTAAATAGGTCTTTAGTGTGAAGTTTTCTGTTTATCTGGCTAGATGTTAACCTGTGTTCACTATTTGTTGTAGCCATGGTGTCAGAGGCTACAATTTTCTCTGGTATTCTTGTTTTTGTCTCCTCTATTGTCATTGGGTTTCCCTAGAGATCCCTTAAATAAGGCCTGAGCCTTGTAGTTCTTTTTAGCTGTAATCCCTTGCTATTATAAGGAGTCCTATTGATGTGGTAGTAAGATGGGAGAGGAGGGGAAGTGTGCTGTAGTCCTAGGATTAGGTCTTAGTTTTTTAGTGAGCCTGTGAACCCTGCCTATGACCTTCACAAGTGCCTCTCAGCTTTTTTTTTTCACCTCTAAGATGAGACAGGAAGGCTAGAAGGAGATGGAGCTGGGTATTTCCCTTTCCCCTTGTTGGTTAGATTCTGCTAAATAGTTTCCTTTGAGGGCAGGCCTTTGCTAAGGAGAACAGAACTCTCTGGGCATGTTTCAGAATGGTTACTTTTCCCCTTCCCATTAGGAAGAGTGAGAGGATTTTTCATAGATCTTCACAGTGAGAACATGTTGGGACTCCTTAAACTATAACTCATGCAAGTTTTATGCAAGTGGGGAGGGGTGAGTCCCCCTAAGGCTAGGCCTCCAGGAGTTTTTCATCTCTTAAACTAGTTCAGTCTCTAGCAATTAGTCGTGACTTCCAAGCCTTTTACATGTCCAACCAGAAACCAGAAGTCTCAATTATTAGAATTTAGGCTTCTGTCTTCAGTATTTGAACAAAGAGTACGTTTGGGAATTTGAAGATAATGGAATACTAAATTATTTTACACTCTAATCATGAGGTACATTTATATTTAAATAGGCACTAACTCAGTGATGATTTGTGAAATAATAAATGTAAATGTAATTTTAGATTAATATTTGAATTTAAGTAAATGCAAAACAGGTTCATATTCCAAAAGATATTACAGAAAATTTAGCCAGAAACCTTGTTTTAGAAAGTTTAGAAAGTCACTTAAAACCCAAGAAATGCCATCCCCATGACTTCCATTAGGGATTGCTCACTTAGTGGAAACTCCGCTTACATTTATACCTGTAATACCGAGCCCATGAGTATCAGGCTTAACAGTTTACCATATATTTTAACTTCTCTCATTTTATATAATCATTACAATCACCTGGTGAGGCAGGTGGGCCTGGAACCGTGTTATGGGTGGGGAATCAGAACTTAGGTAAGTTGTCTGAGGTCACAGAACTAACAAGTGCTGGTCTGGAATTCAACCAGTGCCTTGTCCACTGATTAGACCAGCAGGTGGAAAGATGAACTGAGTCTTTCTCATAGGAAACTCACAAACACGGCAACAAGTACTGAACAAATTACTAATAAACAAGAGCTGTGACACAGAAAGAACAAGTGAATATTTGCACTATAAATGAAAAAATTTACTCTGGAGTAGAGGTGAAGTCATAGAGTCATTTTAGAGCTAGGAAATGTGGAGGCATTTGTCCCCCTGTGGACACAGCCCACAGAATTTTGGTATGCTAAGCTTCTATGATACTTTTATATACCTTGTAACTTTTATAATATTGTTTTTTAGAAACACTACTTTTAATTTATGTGACTTTAAGCTTGCTGATTTTTAAGCATGTTTTTGTTTTTCTTCCAATGGGGTTTCACCAAAGGTGCAAAAGTGGACCCTCTAGGGCTGGTGAACAGAGGCCTGGCCTTGAATCACCAAATGGAGGCATCCACTTCTCAGACCTAGAGTCCTCTTGAGGAAAAATCTTACTACCCTGACAAAAATGCATACTGTAAACTTTCCTTTTAGCCTTACCCAAAGGGGCTTACAGTCATTTACCAGGCACCTATGCACCGGAGAAGGGAAACATCCAGACTTCTCAGGGGTACTGGACTCTGGCTCTGAATTGACTCTTACCTTGGGGACACAAAAAGCCACTATGACCCACCAGTCAGAGTGTGGATGGCTGGAGCTAGGTCTCAGGTCAGCTCACAAACCTATGGCTGGCGGTTGTCTGTTTATGCCAAAGGTTGTGTCCTGAAAATTAATTTAAAGTTTTATTTAGTTATAGAAGTTGGGTACTTTGTCTTGTGGGCTGGGTAATGCAATAGTTAACAACAAAACATTTTTAGAAAGGTGTTAAGAATTTAAACTATAGTAGACCTGTTCCATTTTGCTGAGTCATTGAACCTATTTGTGACTAAGAAAAGAAATCCTACCCAAGTTCAGGGCAAAAACTCTACCCTTGCAATTGGTTCTTTTGAATGTGAGCAGAGTGGCTTTCTGAAACCCTCGTAGGAGCCATAGATTCCACTTCAGCTCCTCCATTATGTCAATATGAAAGGTGAAATTATTTGCTTTTACATATGTAGAAGAATTAAGTTTTTAAAAAAAGGTTCTGGTGTTTTTTGTCTTTGGATGAAAATTGTTGGAGATCATGGGGGCTTAATTTAGTAAGAGGCTTTTGAAAAGCTTTTTTCTAGATAAAACTGAAATTTATATATATTTTAAATAGCACTCTCATAATCAGATTGAAATAACAAAAGCCTCTGTGTGCGTTTACCTTTCCCTCCTTCATGCCTTCCAATTACCAGTGGCCTCAACTCCAAGTTCATGTGCCTGCTCCTTCCCTTCGTGGGCCAACAACTCACCTGGTCTGAGTGGGTCACAAAATTGGAATTCTTTTTCATTTACCTCTACTCTTAATGTTGTCCCTTCCAAGGAAAAAACTAAACACGTATTTAGCAAAACAAACACCCCTTTCAAAGCCACTTCTTTAAAGCTCCCTTGTAGGCACATACCCTGATAATTCAGATAAGACAGCAGTTTTAGTACAGCTGTTAAACATTTTTCTAAACTGGCAGAATAGTAGAAATAATTGCTCTTATCAGTGATATGGTAAAAATATTGCCCAGTAAGGGGCAAGAATATGGGTGGCGTTCCTTTGCCTGTTTAAAGTGGCCATGCACCACGTATAGCCCATTACACACACACTGAAAATGCACCCTTGCCTGCTTCCTCTCTCCCTCACCCCTAGTTCTATATGCTTCATTATTGTCAGGATAACCTACCCACTTGATCTAGAACACTGTTTCTTGCAAGATATCAGTATATGTGAAGCATTACACTCCTTCCAGCCTAAATTGTAATCACCTAGAGACGGGAAGGAAATGTGTGAAAAAGGAAGAGTTGGCTCTGGTGATTGGGTACCACTGCCTTTCTGTCTTATCACACTTAACCTGTACTTCCCAACACTCTCCAAAGGGCTGAACCTGAAGTATAGTACACCTTAAAAATGTCTTAACTCCCTGACCCAGTCCTTTGCCCAGCTCATAGGCATGGTTGTAATAAGTGACTCAAGTGCCTCACTTCTCATAGTGTGGTCTGCATATCAGCATCACCAGGGAGCGGTCAGAAATGCAGAATCTCAGGCTACTCTAGCTCTACTGAACCAAAATTTGAATTTTAACAAAATCTCCAGGTAAAAAGCAGGTGAATCCTGATGTGAATCCAGGGAACTCAGATGCACATTAAAGTTTGTACTATGTACAAGTCAGAGCCATTATCAAATAAAGTGGATTCTAAATGTGAATTATAGCGGCTTTAATGGAGAACAATCTGGAAGTCTTTGATAAAAATACGTAAACCCTTTGACCAACCAGTCAAACCCTTTGACCTACCCTTGGGAATCCTATCTGACAGAAATAACATGTAAGGATCCGTTTATTCCAACATTGCTGGTAGGGGCAATAAAGAAAGAACAAACGAAAGGAGGGGCAGATGGAGGGAAGCAGGGAGGAAAAAGACCCAAGTCTGTAAACCAAGCAAATGTCATCAGAAGGGGAAGAGTTGAATAAATGATGGTCCATCCACACTATGAAGTATTATTTAGCCAGTAAAAACAATGAATTAAAGCCATACCAGTTAACTTGAAGTGATTTCCATTGCTGAGTGAGAAAAGCAGGAAAAAAGTATGGATAATATTACCATTTTTTGTAAAATAATGGCAACCTACCTGTAATGTGTTTATGTATATATGTGTGAGATTACCTGAGCAGGTAACAAAAGTGGAAAGATATGTACTAGTTTGGTAACTTACGTGACCTGAGTGGAGGGAGGAGGGAGCCAAGCAAAAAGAAAAAACGGAACAAGAAAATACACTAAAAAAGCCAACTGTATCTACTGATGGCACTTTAGCATTTATGTAAAATCATATGTAGATCTAAAGTGACAATTTAAAAACTAAACAAAAAGATGGTAAAGATAAAAAATAAAAGACTTCCTTTGAATAAGCCAGTAAAGTGACTTCCTTCCTTAGAGTAACTTCCTGAGGGTTGCTTGATGCTTCCAAGAGAAAAACTCTTGGTTATCCTCCTATCAAAACATTGAGCTTGCTTCACTTAACCACTGCTGTTTGGGGGGGCATGGGGACATGAGGTGGGGGCATGGGGACATGAGGGGGGGCATGGGGACATGAGGGGGGGCATGGGGACATGAGGTGGGGGCATGGGGACATGAGGGGGGGCATGGGGACATGAGGGGGGGCATGGGGACATGAGGTGGGGGCTCCCCCAAGCTCCTCCCCAGCACGTGATGCTTTTTGCTTGATGCTCTGCTGAGTACTCACGCAAGATAGCCCATACCAGAGTACAGCGAAACCTACCAAACATGGTGACCTGGCTCTGACAACGGACCAGCAAAGAGGGTATAGATGGAGGCTGAGGACACATTTTGCCCGTTGATAAATAAGCCCACAGTTGACCATGGTAGCAACCTCAGTGAAAATGAGGAGCTATTTAATTCTAATCTTTCATATTGATGAAGTACATTGTTACCTATTAATCTCCCTCTGATCAAAGTTTTAGAAATGTTTCTATTTATTTCCTACCTAGTTAAATGCTTTTCTTTTCCCTGCTTTCTACTTACGACACCTTGTGCCACATTGGTTCTGGTGTATTTTTCTACCCCAACCTGTTACCCTTAAAGATGAGACCAAATACAACAAAAACTTATTTTCCCCAGACTGCCCAAATACAGCAAACACAAAATGCCAAATTTGACAAAAATTTAAAAACACAGCTTCAGCGTGATTCATGTCATAAAAGAAGGAAACGTCAACGTCCATTCCCCCCCCCACTGACTGAATACTCGTCCAATGGACAAGCTCAAACCACTCCACCAGGAAACTTGAGACCCACCCACAGCATTGGTCTGAGAGACAGAGAAGGGATTTTTCACACCAGGAAGATCATACTGAGAACTTCAAAGAGCCATTCCAAAGGTCTGTAGCAGGGAGAACGCCTTGACTACTGGCTTCTCAGTGTAAAGATAAAAGCACATATGGATGCATATGGAACCCTTCTAAAGCTCCCCCTTCTCCATTTAACACAGGCTCTATGAACACACCCGCGATCTCAGTCTTTTTCTCTTCAACGATGCACTGCTCGTTTCTAGTCGGGGCACATCTCACACTCCATTTGAAAGGACATCAAAATCAACCTACCAGTTCATTGCGTCAGTGGCCCTTCACAGGTTACTAGTAGAAGATATTTCAGACACCAAACGTATGTATTTTCCTTCCAAGAGTTAAATACCTTTAGAAAGCTATATTATATAAAGCTCGTTAACTATTAAAATAGAAAAGTAGGAAAAGGACTGGAATTATAATTTTCCAGCTTGCAAATAATTCCCCAAATGTTAGGATTTCATTAATGTAAACTCTCATCTACCTCTGAAATAGCAAAAGAAAGGACTGCTGGCAGTGTCAGACACACACCCTAGACTAATACTAGGAAAACAGCTTTCAAAAATCACAAGGGGAGGCACGACCCTCACATCATCTTGGAGTTCTCTGAAGCAGTTGCACATGAGCTTGAGCCCCCAACCGCTACTCCATACTGCTTGTAGGTGTTAGTTTTAGACTTTTATCCATTAATTTTCCATTCTACTAGGACAAGTGATTATTACAGATTTGACTGTACCATTTCTTCCTTAAGTTCATATTTAAATTGGGAGTTCTATAAAGGAATCAACAGATTCGCAAAGGATGTTTAGTAACTTAAACATTTCATTCATAATAACTTGAACAGAAATATCATGTTACAAAAAGAAATCCTACTTAAACCTACTGTGCCTATTTTTAGTTATTATCCTGCACTCTACTTCCAACCTTAAAAGGATCCATATCTCTTTCCTGTATTTGTTAGGCCAGACCACCTAAATGTAACGCCTCTCATTCCAATATTTCTTACTGCATGTAAAGGCAGGACTTAAGGGTAAAGCTGGAACCAAGAGCTCAGAGAAGGACCTAATCTAAAAAGGGCTGCTTCCCATTAGCATAAGCCCCATTTTAAATCTGAGAAAAAATGTGAAATACTTCCACTCCAAAGTCAAACTCAGGTAAAATGGGCTAGTCACCTATAACCACTGGGTATGGTTAAAGTGTGTATGACATGTCTCCTTTCAGCTCCCTTTAATCAGCTCTGCCCTACGTCAAAACCCCATTAAGTAACCTGATAGACCGTGGGCACTCAGCTAAAGAGTTGGCTTAATTCTGTCATGGGCCCTCATACCAAGGTTGTCTAGGCCTCACTCTCACCATCTCTATCTACAATAGCGATTAGTAAAGACCCTTATTGATTCCAGGTCCTTCTGGAGTGGCTGAGCCAAGGAATTACAGAACATTACATCATCTGTCACTTAGTCTTTAAAGATAACTGCTAATTACGATTAAACAATTATAAAGACAAGATCATTTTAGATTATATTTGAATTATTCAGTAATTTTAGGAAGTTATATTCTAAACTGGATTTGTATTTGTTTGAATCCCTTTCTAGTTTTCCAAAAATTCTTAAAGATGAGTTGGTCAATTCTTGAATATTAAAACATTTTCTCTTTTTCTTTTGTTACCTGCAAAGATTAATTAGTGTATCTCAAATATTTTTACAGATATCAAGAATGCATTTATTCTTCAGGGTCCACAATGTGAATGGATTTGTGCTACAGAGGTCGAGGAGGATAAGTTCCTGTGGCTGTCAGTCCTCCAGAATGCAATCAGAAGTAGAATGGAGACATGAGACGTGACTAGAGAACACTGCAGGTGCCAGTTCTCCCTGCGAGATGACCCAGACCACAGCATGTATTTCCTGTTCTGGAAGAGCCAGTAAAAGCAGGATTACTTGTCATGGATGATGGGAGGATGAAGTTGGATGACCCATAAACTTCTTCTTAACTTTTAAACTTTATCATCTATGCTCAATTATGTGAAATGTACAAGAAGAACAGTTTGAATCCAAAATTTTGAACCACTTCTTTTGGTAGTTATTTTTCATGGACAGTATCATTTAGTTATTTGATGAAACCTAAGACAGAATGAGGATATTGTGTATTTAAAGTTTTCTTTTATGATCTAATGAAAAATAAAACCAGAATGAAAAGTTTCTTAAATAAGTCTAGAGAAACATTTTAATTTGTTGGTGATTTACCAATCATCTTTAACACTTTCATGAAATAATTATTGATTTAAAAATATGTATAAGAAATATAAAAGGCAATTTACTCAAAAACTTGTCACATATATCCTTAATATAAATGTACTCCTCCAGAGAGCATTAAAAATGTACCACCACAAAGCACTAAAACATTTTCTGCAATATTTAAGTGTTCTTGGGTTGCATAATTAAATTCCTAGACCTTCCAAACAAGAAGCTTTAAAAATCTGTGACATTATTAAATTACAAAGCTACTGGGAAAAAAAATTTTTTTTAAAACAAAGATAAATGGGAATCTAGCAAAACTTGCCTGTAATGGAATTTAGCTGAATAAAAATGAAGAAATTAAGACAATTCTGTTTTAAAATAGAGAAACAGCAACATAGGTGTTGAGTAGTTTTCTGGGCCTTTAAATCCTTCATCAAATTATTTAACAAACTGAAGCTATAACCTGTTAGCACTTGGAAACTTTAGCTGATGTATGCAGAAGTGACAATATGTTTACTTAGTTAATGGCAGATAAAAGTTATATTAATCTTAGAAGCTTTCGGTTGTCAGTTTCCTTTTTGCTTCATGTTTTCCTTTAAAGTAATGAAATTTACTAGTACAGTAGAGGATTGTGAACTAGGCTGTTTTAAAGATTTTCTTTTTTTCAACACAAAAATACAAATTCCTTCTAATTCTTAAAAATTTAAGTTTTTGTTAGAAAATATACAAAAGTTAAAATACTGTGCTGTTTTATTAATGTAAAATCACAGTTCTGATTCTGTCATGATATATCCGTGCAGCTTAATAGCTATAATCCCACAGACAGAATAGACATTAAAGGGAGTATCTGCTGTTAGTCAGCAATGAATGCAAATTCACAAATGTGATCAAAACGTATTTATCACATAACATAAAACAAATCCTAAGACAGTATCACCCTGAATAGGGCACACTTCAGAAACTCTTTGTTAATAGGAAAAACCTGTCCATATGGCAAAAGCATGAGTGACAAGATCGCTGAAGGTAAACTAGAAATCTTAAGGAATTTCCATTTATGCTGTGAATAATTAATGTCCTCAGAAGTTTTAAAACATATTGCTTGAAAATAATCTCTGTAGAAACTGATGAGCATAAGCTTCTAATTGAGAGTTAGGTGCATAAATCATGCAAGAAGTGGTGATGTTTGCAAGTGGACAGAGCTTATGTTGTTTGTGGTTTCAACGCTTGGCCGTCACTTCCAGGGGACAATTAAGAAAGCCCTGTCTTCTGGCTATTTCTTAAGTTTACACTATTGCTGCTGAATTAAAATCTCACACAAAAATTTTAAGTCACTGGTACAACTGATCAAATTTTCACAGGGAAAATATAAAACCTGACCTCCAAGTTGGAAGACATGGAAAAGTCTGAAAGTACCACGTGACTCCTGAAAATGTTGATTACTGTAGAGCTTATGGTTAAAGAATGCCTTATCCAATACAGTTCTTCCAAATCAAAAGTTCAATAGGCAAAACTCATTTTAAAGATTTTTATAAAACAAATATAAATATTAAAACTAAAAGACAAATTGACAGTTTATTAATTTTGTCTCCTTTTGCAAATATTTCTGAGTTTGTGCTTGAGATGTAAAGGAGAAGGCCATTCTGTAAGTCAGATCAGTGTGAGGTTTTGGCCACATGACTACAATGGACCGATGTTATGTATTCCTGATGCTATGGAATAACAAGGGTGGGCACTGCCAACAAACACAATATACCCTCCAGAAAAAGTCATCCTGACCCTTTTATTGTTGAAATTAAAAAATAAAAGATACTTAAATACAATGGTGAACATAAAGGGCAAAACAGAATCACAAAATTTAAGGTTGAATTAAGCAGTGAGCTGAATGTCTGGGTCTCCAAATTGGCTTGAACCCAGCACCACTTAAAAATGGGTGTGTTCACAGTTAACGGCTATTGGCTTATAGGTGAGAGAACGGTCGAAGTTGTTCCAGTTGAACTTCCAGGGAAATTCTCTCCTCAAGAACATCCTGAAAAAGAGGCAAAACCAGTTATGTTTCAAAGTATGTAAAAACTAAGGCACATCTAACAACAGCTCTCATCAAGAACACAGTTTTATTTGTAAGGGGGCTGGCCCCGTGGCTTAGCGGTTAAGTGCGCACACTCCGCTTGTCTGGCCATGCTGAGGTGGTGTCCCATATACGGCAACTAGAAGGATGTGCAACTATGACATACAACTATCTACTGGGGCTTTGGGGAGAAAAAGGGAAAAAAAGAGGAGGATTGGCAATAGATGTTAGCTCAGGGCCGGTCTTCCTCAGCAAAAAGAGGTGGAGTGGCATGGATGTTAGCTCAGGGCTGATCTTTCTCACACACAAAAAAATATATATATAGCTGTACCTCCTCAACCAGATTTTTAAGCCATTACTCATTCAGCTTCGGGGGTGGGGGGGCACAGTGAAAGAGCTCAATAAACGATTAAAAAAAAAAATTGTTAAGAAGATGAAGGGACAGCTGTTTATATTTTAAAAGAATACTTTAGAAACAGTTTCTTTGTACAAAGAAATATTAAAATATCTTAATTAAAATCTTTTCCTTATTACATAAATCAGGGTAATAAAATATTTTTTGTTTAATGATTAGAAAAGCCAATATTTGCATATGCTGGCTATTCATGCATGCACGTTGCACAGAACCCGTGCCCTGCAGTGACCGTAGAGGAATCGGTTCATACAGATTCTTTCCCCTGGTGACTATATCCCATCATAGCAACTCCTGAAACTCATTTTGAGTTCCAGTTTCACAAAGAATACATTTATTTTGCAATCAGAATTTCTAATTACTGTTGATTTTGAGCAGTCTTTTCAGATAGCCAGCAAATTGGAATTTATCCACTTTCCTTTTTCTCTATCATACTGATAGTATCGTGTTTTAACCAGAACCACCGCTTCCCATTTGGTACTCTACTTCCTATTTTTGGTTCAATGAGAAAAGTGATTTTTTTTTTTTTGGTGAGAGAGGTTTGCCCTGAGCTAACATCTGTGCCAATCTTCCTCTATTTTGTATGTGGGTCGCCACCTCAGCACGGCTGAGGAGTGGTGTAGGTCTGCACCCAGGGTCCAAACCCGAGAGCCCGGGCCACTGAAGCAGAGTGCGCTGAACTTAACAACTACACCACAGGGCTGGCCCCCAAAAGTGATTTTTAAAACAGCTCCTATATACATGTTTCTGTGATTTTCTGTAGTTCTTCAGAAAAACATGCATTAACAAAATTTTCATCTTCAAGGTATGGTACTAGGAAGCCTATCCTTAGTTTAATATTCTTCCTTTACAATACACCAAATTCATAATCATACCACAGCTACAAATATCTTCTTTGAGGGAAGAGTTATACAAGAATATCATTCATTCAACAGACATTCACCAAATGCCTAACATGTGCTAGGTTTTGGGGACAGACACAAGATGGTTACAAGTTTATCTAGGTCAGTCCCACTTTACTTCTGATGTCTTGGCCTAAATATCAACACATTCCTCCCTCTTTTCTCTCAAAAATATAGTGGTTTGGACTTATTATATGGTCACCCTAAACAGAAATTACTATGATTTAGATTTACCCTCTATGAGTTCAGTTAGTAGGAGAGACAAATGTGCCACAGATAATAATTCCAAGACAGTGTAATAAATGCTAGATGAGGGATATGAACAAAATGTTCTGGAAATGAACTAATTCTGTATTAATTTTACATTTCCATGGATTCTTTTCTCCTCATCTTTGTGGTTTACAACTTTGCTACTCAAAGTGTGGCCAACAGTCCAGCAGCATCTCCAACACCTGGCAGCTTATTAGAAACGCAGAATTCTCAGGTCCCACTCCATACGTAATACCAATCAGAATTTGCATTTAACATGACCCCAGATTAACTGTATACACATTAAGGTTTGAGAACCTTATAAGGCATGAATGCTTAATAATGTTGGTGAATCACAATGATTCTGGCTGTTAATTTTTATTCATAGGGATTCAAAGAAATCATGCCTAGTAGTAAGTAAGGAAAACAAACACATTCCAGTACAGATGAAGGAGTACACATCGGCCACAAGCACCATGTCTACTTAAGGCTGGTCTTATCTTTTCCACATGCAGGATGATCTAAATTGCCCCCATCCTTCTTCCTCTTTAGACCTGTTTTAAGTCCCTTTAACAAAATCTGAGTTGTCTTTGATAAAGAGATAAGCTAATAATAAATTATCTTAGAATTAAATCGAGTGTAGACAGCCATGTATGTGATCTTGGAGGTACCTGACATCACAACATTTCTTCTCTTGGGTTTCATTATGAAAGTTAAGGAATACTATAGGAATAGTGATGCCTTATATATATGTAGGATAAGGCAATCACATTAGAATTGAGTATAAAAAATTCCTTTTATTATTAAAAGATTCAAAGGGGTATAAAACATCCTAGATGCACATTTCTCTTGCCACACTGAAAGTTTCATAGTAGCAGAACTGCTGGATCACCTCTAAGTTCCAGTTCAACTCTGAGATGCTCTGAGTCCGTGGAACTTCTCAAATAAAGATTTAGAAACCATATTACCTTT